TATATATATATATATATATATATATATATATATATATAAAAATTGTCACTCAATGAGTTTTATATACACAATTTTTTATGTTTTCTGAAATTTCTCACCATTCTTAATCATGTTATTCTTGTGTTATCATTGTAAACATTTGGATAAAGTTTTACATATTACAGTTTCTATATGTGTTTTCATTGATTCATACAGTTTTGTATGTACAGTGGTGTTCATTCTCATGATGAGTAAATACTTGCATACATTTTTGAGTTTCTATAACTTTAGATTACTTCATACAATTTGTATGTACATTGTTCTTTTTCTTATAATTTTCACTGATTTTTGTAAGACATTTCATCCTCCTGAAATTTCATGAATAAACCTTTCCTGAATTGCCAAGTTTCTAATTTTGAATTATTTGCTTTTATTATACCTCAATGTTATAACAAAAGTTCAATATACCTAATTATACTATACCTGTCTATAATAAAACTGGTCTACAAAATACAAATCTCTTACTATTCTTAGTTTTAGTACTAGCGTACCAGTATTTTGTGAAATACATTGACATTTCGGTTACCATACGTTACATATGTATACGTTATTACTAGTTGCTCATAAATTCTGAAATTTCAATTATTTTCATAAAACATGGGACAGTAAATAAAAAATATAAAGAAAATGATCTTCAGTACTAATGATGTTATAAAATTTTTTTGCACTCGTGTATCATACTCGCTAACCCTTGCTGCAAGCCTTGTTAAATCTCGTACATGTAGATTTTATATATTCATTTTGAAGTACAAAAAAAAAAAAATTACTAGATAAATACCACAAAAAACTACTGTAATTTAGCTACCTAACAGAGCTATATTGGAGTCTAAAAAATTTCATCCCTGTTCTATTATGATCATCACACATCCAAATCTCTAAACAGGTTATCGCTTTCTTGTTGTCAATAACTTAGAAAGGCTGACAGGATTATATGGTTCAAAACAGGCACTTTAGTCTGGTTATAAACATGTACATAAATAAATGCACATTACTTCTAAATTTTAAATCTTATGTACAGAATGTTGGTGTGGCTTCCGTCAGGAGTTGGATAATTTATTTCTTGTGGCTGGAAATTGACCACAAGGAACTTGAAAGAAATATTTGATTTCAAAAAATCTTTAAAAGAAATGTCTAATTTCAGTCTTGTCATATGATGCACAAGCATTCACAATCTTAAAAGTTTTGGTTTCTCTAACTTGAATAATACTAGACTTTCCATGTACATGTATGGCTAGACACAAAGTGTATTCTGTTCTCACACACACACACACACACACACACACACACACACACACACACACACACACACACACAAAAGTTTGAATTATAATGCAAATTTCTTTGACATACATTAATAGTAGAGTTGTTTAATTAAATTTTGAATGTAACTCAGTAAAAACCTTGTGACATGCACAGAAAATGTGCCCACAAGTTTATGGTTAGTGGCTGATCCAATAAATTCATGGTTGCAGCTTGAACAGATGATCTCATATACCACTAGTAATGTATTCAATAAATGTTATTTTTCTTTAAACCTAAGGTCCTTTTAACCTAAACTCTGTTTTAAAGACATATTTAAACTGTACTTGTGGATATAATTGTTTGATAATTTTCTTAGTCATGTATGAAATAGTCCCAAAGTGGGGTATAACTAAAGTACCAGTTTTCTAAAGTGGAAGCTATTCTAAGTAATACATACAAGTTTATAAAACCAAGTGATACCACAATATTCAGAAAAGCCAACTTTAACTTTTTTAGAGTTAAAAAACAAAGGTGGAATAATAATGGAAGATATGCATAAAAAAATCAGATCAATGGGGTCATAGTGCGGGATTTAATATGGACTTCCTAAGGTTCACATACACAGATGTCCAGTTATACCATTTATTTTTAGTGTGGTCATCTGTAATCAATCATTTGCAAGATTTCTGACCCTGTCTTTCAAAGAGTTTGTATAGAATTAATAGTTTAAAAGAAAGACAGTTTAATGATGATGTATATTGTACTGGTTTTTATATCATGTCATTGTTTATAAATATACCTCTAAATAAAATCATTGGTCTTTGTTCTAACTTTCTGTTTGCTGAAAATGAAATTGTACAGGGTATAACTGAACATTTTTTAAAACATTTAGTGACAAAACAAATCTCATTTTATGTCTAATAGTAAAATCAATGAACAGATTGAGAATAATTATGGACTACAGAATCTAGCACATCTTATATACTATAATAAAAGTGATCAAGAAATTCCATGTTTAAAGATCAACCTGCTACAGAATCTCGAAAGCCCTACAATAGAAACTTGGATCCATCAGCATCATTGGAACTTACCTTGGTAAAATCCTGCAATTGACTTTCCAGTGTTTCTATTCGGCTAAGAAGTCGATCTTCATCAATCAAAACCTGCAGCAAAAAGATGGTGTTTTAATATCATTTAATAATGGACGTGATATCATAAGTAACCATTACAAAGTAATAGTTACTTAGATACATCCCCTACACTGAAGATTTCAAACATATAACACCTTCAGTACCAGGACATACAGGTAGTAAGTAGACTCTACTGAAGTATATCCCTGGTACTGAAGATGACTAACAAACTGTACCAGGGTATCCAGGTAGTAAGTAGACTCTACTGAAGTATATCCCTGGTACTGAAGATGATTAACAAACTGTACCAGAGTATTCAGGTAGTAAGTAGATTCTACTAAACTATATCCCTGGTACTGAAGATGATTAACAAACTGTACCAGGACATACAGGTAGTAAGTAGACTCTACTAAACTACATCCCTGGTACTGAAGATGATTAACAAACTGTACCAAGGTATCCAGGTAGTAAGTAGACTCTACTAAAGTACATCCCTGGTACTGAAGGTGATTAACAATTGTTAAAAAACTTCTTTCTACTTCTTCTAACCTTTAACTCTTTTGCAACAGGCTCATGAAATTTGCAGAAATGAAGTCGCAAATTTCACTTGTACAACAATACATGTGGCAACACTGAAGTTTCTTAACATATCCTCTCAAAAACTGGTAAAATTTTGTTAAAGCTCATAAGAATCTTGATTATAATAATGCCATTCTTGGTGTACAAGTGTTTTTACTAAAAATATGTTATTTTTCTATTGTAGTTACTTGCACTCAAACAATTAACAAATCAAGTGCAAGGTGATTACTTTTCACTGTCTTATAGTTTTCATATTTCATTTGCATAATTTCTAGAACCCCCTAAAAGAATATCAAAAGTTTTTAAGGTAAATGTTTATATTTTATTTTTCATTTTCTCTACCATATCTAGCTATTATCATCAATGTACAATGCAATGAAATAATTAAAGTTAGGAAATAGAATAAAAAACACATACCTTTTAATATTTTGTTGAATATCTTTTAAAGATTTTCCTCTGGTTAAATTCATAATTTCAGGCCTTTTCCTTTTCACATATATTTAATTTTTTATGTTTTATTTTCCCTTCTTGTCCATCACCACATATTATTCATCATGACACAAGTCAATGGTGTTATTAAGGCATATTAGAGTTTCTTTGGGATACATGCTCAACCCTTTGGCAAAATTTTCTTTCAGTGTGTAATATCATAAGCCTTGAGAACAGATGCAAAGTATGATGTATATTTAAAAAAATGTTTAAACCTTTTAAATATGCATTATAAAACATAACTACACATAATTATCTAAAATATAATAGTAAGACCTAAGTACAATTTAAACTGTATATTTAACTATAACATATTTAGGTAAGAAACAACTGGAAGTGCTATATTCTATCAAGCAGCCAACAATACTACAGGCAATTACATGTATTCCATGATGACAACTGCACACTAATTTCATAATAACCATTGTTAGATTATAGTGTAAAATGAGCTCTTTCTAGTGACAAACCAAATGTGTATGTAACATTTACATGTAGGCTATAAAGCTCAAAGAAATTTGTTGAAGGTGAGCGTGGCACCTGTCAGGGTTTGAAAAAATTTATTACTTTTTTTAACTGTATCAATTCAAAGAACTTTGAAATGTGCGAGTCAAAAGGTTATATAAACATCTTATTGCCTAGATGTACCTCTACTCAACTACCATTGTATTATTGAAGAAACAGAGAGCCAAAGTAGAGAATTTTCATAGCTTGTTGGTCATGTGACAATACACATGAAGTAGTTTTTAAAGTTTTATTTTGAAATAAAGGAATTAAAATTTGGATAAAATAAAACACATTATAATACATTGATAGTAAAGATGTTTAATTAAATTTTGAATGTAACACAATGACTTGCGAAGAAAAGTGCTTGAAAGGGCACCCATTGGAAAAGGGTTAACAAAGTTTACTTTGTATTACAATTTTTAATGTTAACCAGTCCCAAGTACAGTTCTGATGCTACCTTCCATCCATTGTCTGATGCCTCCTGCGAGCTGGTAACTACTCTTTGGAGTGTACATAGCTTAGTTTCCAGGATTTGTTCTCGATGAAGGGCCTCCTACAGAAAATAACACAAACTTGTCTACTTTTCTATATTAAGTATGATAAAGTTCTCATAACAAAAATGTGTACAGACAACAAACATCAACTTAATGATTATGTTCAACAACAATGTTAAAAACTCCAACTACTTGTTAGCAGTTCCAGATTATAAAAATGCAGAAATATAAAATATTTTCTCAAGCATGACAACTTAGGTGACTTCATATACAGCATGTGTATCTGTTAATTTAATTGACCCTGTTTTCAGATAAATCAGGTGGATAAAATTTCAGACTGAAGTAAAACCTATTTTATATTCAAGTCATTACTTTTAAGTTCTTCTGATACATTAATTTGCAATATTCTAAACTTTAGGTACATTATAATGGGCTAGCTAACATACTGAAATAATAAAACAAAAAAGAAACAGTGCTCCGATATCAGTCAAACAAATAAAAGTTGCTTATTCAACAGATAAAAGAAAATGTTTGTTCTACATAAAAAAAGAAGAATCTGTGAAACTTTTTCAATGACAGATCTAGCACTTACCTGAAGATACTGAGATAACTGATAGAGATCTTGCATGGAGATGGTGGTGCCTGGGGTGCTTGGAACAACAGCAGTTGTTGGGCTACAGACACAGAAAACCCAAAATAAGAAATAGCTTCGGTACTACATACAAGTATCATCATTATGTTCTACTAGAAGACCAATATTAACCATAAATTAGTTTAACTGTATAATGTCTGGGTGAATCAAGTTCTATTTTATTGCATTTAAAAAATTACTGGATGAAATTGTTTAAAACTTGAGGTGAGCTTTCTATAGATTATGTAGTTTATTTAACATAACATTATTCTGCATTAGAGGATATTGTAGTGGCATATAACATCTATGTTGTAAGAACACAGGCCTGTGAATCTAAAATTCATAAAATTTGTTTTGATTTTTTTATAACTGATTTTCCATAATTCACCTATGCAGATTTCAAAAATGATATTCCTTTTTTCTATCACTTAAGGATTTTTTACATATCTGGAAGAACTAAAAACTCTTACTTAGATCAAATTATTATTTCATTTTCCACAATGAAAATTTTTTTTATTATGTTTGTTAACAAAAATACAAACAAAATGAAGAAAAGGGAAGAACATTGATGTCAAATGAACTTGCATCCTCATTTTATGTGCACAATCTACATATTTTAGTTTCAATGACCAGCAGTAATCAGCCATCATGCTGATGTTCCACCTTCCCCGATACCTCCTCTCTATTTTCCTGATGTCTTGATGAAACCTTTCCCCTTGTTCTTTACTGACGATACCACGATTTTCAGGGAAATAGTCAATATTTGAGTGTAAGAAATGCAATTTCAAGCTCATGTTACAACCCAACTCTTTGAGTATATCAAGCATATTATTGACAATATTTTCATAAATTGGGTCCTTGTTTTTTCCTACAAATTTGTCAATAACATCTTTAAAGGCAATACACGCTTCTTTTTCCACTTTCAAACTGTTCATTCAAAGTCAATTTTCTAATCTGAGGCCCAACAAAAAAAAACCTTCTTTAAGTTTTGCTTCTGAAAGTGCTGGGAATTGCCCAAATAGATACTTGAAACAGTCGCCATCATTGTTTAAGGCCTTTAGAAACTGCTTCATCAAGCCCAGTTTTATGTGAAGTGGGGTAATAGGACTTTCTTTGTGTCAACCAAACTTTCACATTCAATGTTTTTCAATCCTGGTATCAGGCTGGCTCTGCATGGCCATTGCTTCTTTATCCAGTGCCGATTTAGTGCTTTGCTGTCCCATTCACACACAAAGAATTTTTAACTCTCTACAAAGTAGCCAACCATGTTCTTTGAAACTTATTAAGAACTTATTTGAACTTATTAAGAAAAAGTTTGAGATTTTCATACGTTTCCTTCAAGTGAACTGAATGAGCAATAGGAATAGATGTGTATATGTTACCATTGTGAAGGATAACACTTTTTACACTTCTTTTGGAGGAATCAATGAACAATCACCACTCTCTTGGATCATACATTGCAGCTCCTAGCATTGGTATTAATTCAATAATATTGTTGCATTAAACCAGTTAACCTTCTTGCGAAAACTGTCGTATAAGCTTTTTCTCATGATTTCTGTACCAGTAAAATTGAGGCCCCTGGAGAAAGTAAGTTCTTAGCCCAAAGTCTGGATCCCAAAAATCTATGAAGAAGCCTTTGGAAGGCCCAAATCTCTCACCAAATCATTAAGTTTACCTTGTGTGAAAAGTTGTGGTTCCCTAGATGTTTCAGGTTGAAAACAATCCATATCATCATTTCTATTGACATCAGAATCAAATGAAACTGTATCAAGAGTCTTCAGTGGAGTAGGTACAGGTACATCAGGTCCATGAGCAACAGGTCTTATACCAGAGTTAAAAATTTCCTTTTTATTTTGAGTGTTCCAGCCTTACACAAGCAAAAATAGCAGTCAAATCCATGGTTTCTAGGCTCACACCAGACCATTGGAATTCCAAAAGGCAAAGACTGTTTCTTACCTTTAGTCCATTGTCTCAACTCTTCAACACAAACAGTGCAAACTTTGTGCAGAGCCCATGATTTGTCTTGGTCCCCAAATTTTATTCCAAAATATACGTAATATGTTTTTTGACAAATTCTGTAATGTTGTGCCTTTGATTCTTTACAACAAATTTAACAGAATATGTTTGGGTCATTTATACAACCTCTTGTTTCCATAGCAACAAATAAATAATATTGAAAACAAAAAAAAATAATGTCAAAGGGCATGCACAAACAGTGGTTGTCAATATTTTAAGCATAACAAAATGTGACCCAATTTCAATGAAAATGATTTACTGATGTAAAAGTACATATGATGTTTTGCAGAAAATCTGTACGTGATGGAGAAAAATGGATATCATTTTCGGATTCAATGTACAGGAATTACTGTGGAACATGTAAAAATTTCAAGACAATAAAACCATCACAAGCATGTGGAATTAGCCACTGTAATATCCTTTGCTGGCTGACTGAGCACTGTCTATATGTTACAGTGGACCAATGCTGTTAGAGAACAAAGGTCCCAAGGTGATGCTGTTGAATTTAGGTGCACTTTCTTAATTCAGTTCTACCTGGAGTTATTTGAATATAAAGACATACTTTAAGATCATTGATATTTAGTTCAATAAAAGTCTAGCTCAAAAGAAAGAAAGCTCTGACAATCATCATGATCCAGCAGAAGAACCTGGCTTTTTGTAGGCATAAGTACATACACTTTTTTTTGTTGTTGTTTGTCTGTATCATATAAAGACTCTTCATTTTCTTAAACTTTTCCAGTCTTATTATTTCACACACACACACACATTAAGAAAGCTTAGTCAAGTTATCAAACACAGATTACTCTCCTTATTTCTTAAATGAGTCCGCCGTTATTAGGGGGGTCTAACTATCTAATACTTTGAGAAATCAGTTTCTACTGAAAATACTTCAACAATTCAAATGAAGTAAGAAATGTTAAAGAAAGCTCTTCTGAGAGTTAAAAAAAATTAGTAATGTAATTGTGGTGGATGTTGTTCACATACCCCTTTTCTTTTAGCAGCATATAAACAAGCTAAGATTTTATCATTTTTTCCAGTATCTATGCAATTCTCTGCTAAACTGGAAGTCAATTTGGATTACATACAGTTGAAAAGAACAAAAGAAGTGATTCATTGTGTGTTCAGATCACTAGCCTACGATTTTAAAAGCTGAACAACAGGCAATCACATCACATCACGATAACTGATATTGAGAAACATGGCTAAAAATCAAACTACACTTGAATTCAAGTTACAAGGTTCAAACTTTCAATACATTACTTAAAACTATTTTGGCTTTTCTTTCTAGAGGTTACAAGTGCCATATTATTATAAGAAATTCACAAAAAACTAATATTTTTGTTCAGAGCATACTGAAATAAACTCAAAATCAAAATTTGACTAAAACATGTTTCTGAATAAAATTAAGTAAACAAACTTTTTTCTTCATTGGATAAAGTCCAATACTGAAGTATTAAAAAGTGTGGAAAAATAACTACAAATTTATTTTGATGTTTTAATTCAATAAGGTGCAATTTTACCTTCAGGGCAAGATGCACACAGCCAGGGTCATAGAGTTAAAATATAACATCTTAAAAATTCAATCAACTAGTAAAAAGAAGATTGAAGTTGCAATAATAAAAAGTGCACTAAATCAATGTAAAACAACTAATTAAATAAATACCTGGCCTTGGCTTCCTTTCCATCTGGTAAGAAGAGCTTTAAAGTTGCAACAATACATCCATGGGTGACTGTAAAGGAACATAAAAGCTTATCTATAGTTTAAAAACTCAGAAACTGTCAGATTTAATTTCTTTTTAAGCTAAAAAAAATTCTGTACAGAACAACAGAAATTATGAAAGAAAAGTAATATATTACATTTATACAAACACACACACACATACATACATACATATGCAACATATAAAAAAAAATTACATAATCTATGAAGTAAAATATAAATTGAATACAACACAAGAGCAAAATTCAATTCCAGTCTTATCAGTTTAAGTAAATATCAAGAGCTACAGATTTAGCTAAAAGCTGCTTATTAAGGTTTACAGTTGAAACAATATAACTAAATATAAAACTCATAGTGCTACATTTCATCAAAACTCAAACTGATAAATAACCTTTTCTAGAGTTCTCTACCACATCCACACCAAATTGGACGATGTCTCCTGAGCTAGCCTCTCTTGCTAGTGACTCTTCTGATCCCTTACTGAGACGCTGGTTATTGACAAATGTCCCATTACTGCTCTTAGTATCTTGTAGAAAGAACTAAAAAATGAAACAACAATCCAAGTTTGAACTATTTTAGCATTTCTGCCAAGTAGTTGTAACTAAACAAGCATCATGAATTACATGATTCTTTCTCTGTTATTAAAATGATTGACCAACATTATTTATCAGGTTTTAATATGGCTAATTAAAATATTGTATTAAATGTTATGTTGCTACTCTTAACAGTTTTATAACACTTCATTTTTGTGTTGTACATGTATTTCTTTGTAATTCAGTATCACCATAGAGCACAATTCAACATACCATCCTTTATTTTCTGTATTTATTACTGGCACAAAAAGTTGCATTTTAAAACATTTAATGAAGAGCACATGTAAAGCTTCCAGTCAAATGACCAGCAAGTGTCGACAATGTAACGATGAGTCATGAGGAGGGTTCATACACTCAAAGAAGACAGTATATGTATTATAGATGTTGAGTTGTAGTATACTTGTTCTAGAATGGCCATGCCACACACGTTAAATCATTACGTTATTACTACTCATTATATCAAGGACAAGTTTGTAAACATATCCATTCACATTCTTGAGCAGCTATTTAAAACTTCACCCTTTTGATTCACTTTGTTATACATACAATTGTGCTTTTGTTTGAATGAAAAATTAACATGATAATGTTGCTGACTTTGCATTTAATATTTATTCAATTATTCCAAAAAAATCTGAATTAAAAAATGTATAACATTTAATCATTACATACAGGACAAGCTGTTAGACTATGCTCCAAGATATAAAAACCAAAAATATCCTTTTACAATCTAGGTATCTAATATTTATTTATACAGTGTATAGCCCATCAAAAATGATGGGGCAAGTACTACCACCCCCACCTCATAATATACCCTAACATCACATTTCATAGCTAACTGAAATAAATCAAGCTTGACCAACAAAGAGGCAGAAAAGTGCAGTCGAGGCAGTCAAACTTCTGTAAATTAATTTGTTGAGCCAATCAAAATTATGATATTCATGAAATGAAATCATAGCATATTCATAGAAAAGCCAGTGCATTTTGGTAACACTTCATTCCAACAATAGCCTTTATGTGATGTTGCTTAGCAACAAAAGTATAACATAATATTGTTGTTAGTCTATGTACTGAAAGTATAAAATGAAATGGACAGACAACAAAACTGGATTTCTTAATTTACAGTCTTCGTTGATTAAAGAGGTTTTTTTAAAATTAAAATTGTTGGTAATATAACAGAAAATAGCTCAATCCAGTGTTTCCCAAAGTGAGAGCCACGGCCCACTGGGGGTATGAAGATTTTTCTGGGGAGCTGCCAAAAAATGGACCAGAAACAAAGATGCTGAATTAATTAAATGATACAGTATGTTGAAAGGAGATGTTATTGTTTTAACTACAGCACTGTTTTTCAATCACCATTCTAAAGTTATAGGTTAGGGGCCTGAAACTTTTTTTTATCCACATCAAGGAAGCCTCATACTAAAAGAGTTTGGGAACCACTAATCTAATCGATATTTATCTGCATACATATATAAATGTCATTTAATATCAATCTAAGAATTTGTAACCCAATAAAATGAAAAAATGTTAAGTCAGTCTTTTAATAACTGTATTTTATATATGGTAGTATAATTATAAATCAATGCTTTTTTCATTTAGTTAAGTATAGTATAAAAAAGTTGCTCCTTATTTTATGTTTAGTTATTCATGAAGAGCTGAATCTGACTAGCTTAGAACCCTCTATTTGTAATTAAAAAGCCCCAAACACATATTTTGTGAAAACAAATAAATATCAAAACAATAGCAGTGGTATTAACAAATGACTATTGTAATAAGATACATACTTCAGTGCCACGACAATTATGTATATGTTTCCCTAAGAGAAATACGAGTAAATTTTGTTCTTTCACTGATTACTGATTTTATATCTAATCATACTCAAATAGTTTGTTACCTAACATAGACAGTACTAAATTCCAATATTACTTGTTGCACATTTCTTTAAAATCTCACACAAATCCTACCATCAAAACCCCAGATAAGTTCTTTTCAAATGTTCCTAAGATATCAGATTTAAAGTTGGATAATTAATGAAGTCTTAAAATACAAAAAACATTTCTATCCTACACTGGTAGAGAATGGCATTATTCACATAGTTGTCTATATGTATAGCAGGTATCCAAATAGTAAACTGGCAAAAAGCCAAACCTCCATTTTCAAGTACACTACAGTGGGCTATTCTTAGTGATCTAGTGGATAGAAACCCAGTTAAGTGAATCTTTTCTTCTTTACTGAACTATGTACAATATATTTCATGTGATTTTATAGTACTCATCCCAAACACAACTCACTAATGTTTGTATGTCTGTATTTTAGTGATCCTGTACATACATAGTGTGCCATCTATAACCTGGTGAAGAATAACACATATATCCATATTCTGCATGTCTGTATTTTCTGTAGTGTACTTGTACATACATATTGTACCATCTATGGCCTGCTGTAAACACAGCTACCTTTATGTCTATCTTGGTGTATAAATATGTAAACTGTACTACCAATAACCTACTATTAGTGATGTAAAACATACAATTATTTGTTTTCTAATTGATACTGTATATTGTACACAAGATGACATCAATGCTCTCTTTGTTTATAACAGCATAATAGTCAAGAATAACAGCATCAATAAAAACAGTAGATCTTTGGAGACTAAACAAAAATGTGGACATTTGACAGTGACTATATATGACTGGAAGGAAGCCAGATAGACATGTTGGATCAGAACTGGCTTTATTATTCTTACAAACAAATTCTAGCTCAGTCTCAACATCTCAAGTAGCCTTAATAAACAATAGGCTTTGGAAGGTCACATATGTTTTGCTATTCCTTTGATAAAGAGATTGAGTGAGTGTGTCAATCAGAATATCTTGCATGAAAATAATAACTATGTTCATATAAGTGCAAAGTGTTTGATAGCTTACACTTGACACAGCTTTTATTTCAAGTGTTATTTAATGAACTAATGTAGGTAGTTTATAGTTTGATGCCTATGTAACTGTATAATAAAAGTTGTTCCTAACAAACAGGAAAATGGTCTTTACAGTGCAGGTTGTTTGTGTAACTAAAGCTTTAATTAAGAATAAACCATACTCAAAGTAAAATGTATGGTAGTAAATAAAAAAATTATATATGAAATATAACAGTAAACACAAAACTTTACATTTTTAAAATTAAAATGAATTTCAAACATATGTTTGCACTGCAATACTAAAAACTTTTCTTTGTTGTGTTGCTCTCATGCAGTTCACAATCACTTAACTTTAGGCTCTGAAAATCCCTCATTCAATGCAGAGCATGCTTAAACTTACCTAGATTTCTCTACTCTCTCAGCTTCCATGTGACTTACTGTGTATGCTTCAGAAGATCTTACACAAGCTGGAGCTGACCAGCTTCATAAGAGAATGGACCAAAAATAAAACATTAAGACAGAAAAGCATTCTTCTCATCAGGGTGCCTCATCACCCTAGATACCCTTTAAATAACATAAAAATGTGGTTCAGGTGGTGCCATAACAGGTAGTCAGGGTCAGACCTTAATGCATTGTCCTGTACCTATAGTGGAAGACTGTCAGAGGAGGAGACTAGTAATACCAAATCAGTGGATGTGTTTCTGGGGTTAAGGTCCCCTTCATTCTATTCTGAAATGGTTTGTTAAGACTTGAAACCAGCCTAGTCAGTGGGCACACACAGGGAGAATTGAAAAAATCCATGCAGACCCAGGGATGAAATCAGCAGTTCTGGGACAATGCAATAAGAAAACCAAACAAGGTTAAGAGAAGATAGAAATAAAGCTGTAAAGTGATCCCCATATGCAGTTGGAGTTACGAGATATCACAGGAGAACAGACATCTCATGTCTTGAATACTACACGAGGATATGTACACAGAGGTGAGAAAGTTACCCGCTAGAGACATCATCAGCCACTAGATGGCATCCTCTGGTAATTTCATGAGGGTATCATCCTCTCATTGAGCACCAGTGCAGAAAGTGGTACATTGTCTAGAATAATTACAAAAGGTATATGTCCTATGCGAGGATTCCAACTGGATGAATTCATTCAAACACAAGAGTCTCATAGTATAAAGGACAGACCATGATTTCTTTTTAATTTAAATGACTCCCTAACCCCAAAATCATCTGTGATGGTTAAAAGAGGTGTTGAATGGCATAATCATACTTGGTTACCATGCACAACACACAAGTGAATCCAAGTGGTAATTAAGCAAGTAACAAAGGACTCGCCTGCTACTGATTTCATATGGGTTTAAGAATCACACCCTCAGAATCTCTCTGCATGCTAGAAACAGGCTGTGTAAGTAAAGCCTCCAAAGAAGTTAGAGAATTTCAAATATTGAAAGAAACATTTGTAGCAGAAAATGTTCATTTCAAAATTTATAGCGAGCAAAATTATGAACATGACTGTCAAAAATAAAATCTGGGAAAGCAGAACTTGTGTATGTATCCTGATGCTGATGTATGCACAATACATCATGTTAAAAGTGGGAGAGTAGTGAAATCTGGGTAAACTGAAGCATGCTCTGAATTGTATCAAGGACACTCAGAACCTAATCACATGGTTATAGACAACATGAGAGCAACTCAACAAGGAAACGATTTTATTATTTAAGAGGTAAGTATACCTGGTTTGAATTATAAACACAAAGATAGAAGGCAGTTTTAGGCAAAGCTACTATTTTTTTCAAATATCCAGATTACAAATAAGAATCAGGTTCACCTTGGTGAATGTTGAGGCTATTCTTATGCCCATTGCAAAAGGCTTTCAAATTTTCCACGATATGTTCACATTTTGACAAAAAAAAAAGTGTGATTCAATATACCTGACTTTAAACTTGCGAGTTTTAACTAACTTGTATAGAAATATAGGGCATTAGGTTTATGTTAAAAATCAAATAAATCTTAATTGTCAAAAATATTAACTGTTTATAA